GTGGTGGAGGAGACGGGGAACCGAGGGGATCGGGGGGGAAGCTTATCTGCTTCTTCCTCCTCCACCTGCTCTGTGTGGAGCTTCCCCGCTCCTCCCCCCGCTATTTTCACGGGTCCCCTTTCTTGTTATATATAAATATTCATCATTGAGTCTCAGAGGTTAATTATTATTCCCTAAAAATGCTGGCCCATGTTTTAATAATTCCTTCCATTAATCTGTATTTCCAACTGGGATCCTGTTGTACCTTTGTGGTGAAGCAGAACAGTTAAGCATGTGCTCCATCCATAATTCTCTGAAGATCTGCATCTGACCTACACCAGATTTCTTTGAAATGTGGTGTTGAAATGTGGAGTTGGAGGAGAGTTTTACAGATACTGTGGGCTGCCAAAAAGACAAATAAGGGGGTTCTAAATCAATCAAGCCTGAACCCTCCCTAGAAGCTAAATGACTAAACTGAGGCTATCATACCTCGGTCACATTACTGAGAAGACAAGAGTCACTGGAAAAGACAATAATGCTAGGAAAAATTGAAAGCAGCAGGAAAAGAGAAACACCCAACATGAGATGCATTGACTCGATCAAGGAAACCATGGCCCTCAGTTTGCAAGACCGGAGAATGGCTATTAATTATAGGACATTTTGGAGGACATTAATTCATAGGGTTGCCGACTTGACAGCACTTAACACATACAGTCCTTATAAACTTTTGCACTTACTATGGTCAAGTCAAGAACCAGGACGCTGATTCAATTTCAGGTGGGTAACCTGTTGGCCTGCAGGAGAAGAGCAAGATTTGAGTCTCGTATAGTACCTTGAAGACCATCAAGATTTGCAGGGTATAAGATTTTGAGAGTCAAAGCTCCCTTCATCAGATACTGGTAGGAACAGCTCGTACTACTTGTATCTACAAAGGGAGCTTTGACTCTTGAAAGCTTATACCCTGGAAATCTTGTTGGTCTTTAAGGTACTACGAGACTCAAAACTTTCTCTTATGCTGATCCAGTGGATCAGAAAACCAAGTAGTGAGACCCAGTTTTTGTTTCCATCCTGGAATCTGTAATGTGCCTGTTATAACACAAGAATGATCCTCCTGGTCGTTTTCTGCACACATAGTGCCGGATCCAACTCTTACTGTTCACTTTATCTCCCAAATCTCTGCAAAAGGACTATGAGAGAAAGGATACAGAATTTCCATTGCAAGAAGGCTCTTCTCAAGGCAATCCTGGCTGCCAGCTGAGCAATGCGTTCCTGATGTACGTGCAATTGCTGTTTGCGTTCCCAAGCCAGGTGCCATGACAAGAAAAACTGAAGGAGCATGCAGCTATGATGGTGTTGCAAAGCCAGCTCTGGAAAAAGACACACACAAATTGCCCCAACTACTATAATATCAGGATCCAGGTTTGGTATGCAAGCATAAGGCTGAGAGAGGTTTTGATATTAAGCAGAACTGAGGATGAAAGTAATGGCCGGTATTTATGCTATGGATCAAACTGTTTGGTTACCTGGTGAATTTTCCTTCTACTTGTTTGCCTGACAGTGGTCCAGACCCCACAGGGTTCTCACCTCTCTGCCCACAAGAAGGCAGCAGGTTGACTTTAAAGAACAAACAAACTGGCTGGAGATAGACAAGGAGGCATCTACCTAACACTTAGCTACCAGTAAGACATGATTCATTAACCGTAAGACATTTATTCATAAATCTATTCCTCAAGATGAGATCAGATTCACCATTGTGCATTTTCTCAATAGATTTTCTCTTAATCTAGCAACTCATTTTCTTTTGGATTTGTTTTGGATTTGCTTCTGAGTGCTGGTGGACTCTCTGCAACAGCATAGGGGGTGAAGAGTTAATCTGAGGTAGGAAATAGGAAATCAGTGGAAATAACGGCCCGCTTCTAAGAAAATGTAAGGGCCCTTAAATCTTTGGAACCACCAGGCTGTTTCAGTCCCATAACCAGGCCTGAAACCAGATTGGAAAGGAGCCTGTGGAGCAAGTAGGAGGAGTAAGTCTCACCAAGATACCTTTGTTTCTTGACAGAGAATATCTAAAGCTAGATTCAAAGGAATGCTCTTATTGCCACATATAGGAATTTGTCCCTGGTCACACAATGCTCATGTTTATAAGAGAATCAGGTTAGAGTCTATGATGAACACTTAAGGGAATAGGACTGTCCCAGTGGAACTGCTCCCACTGAAATTATCTATGAAGGGTTTCCTTGATATGTATGCATGTTTTGCCCTCACAGATACCCAGCTGTGATTAGCTATTGAACCCTTTGTCTCATACAGCAGTAAATTCATTTCTTTGGGTAAATATTCAGTTGCATTCTATTTAACTCTTCCATAGAGACTTCTGTGTGGCCTGACAATTCCCACAGTCCTTTACAGTCAACTGTTCCAGAATACTGCTCAGCAATTCCGGCACAAGCCATCTGTGCTTTCATTACCCAGGATCAAGACTATTTCACTCAAAACAGATACATTAGTATACTGCACTAGAAATTAATCCCATTTTGTCACACACTTTTATTTTCAACTCACTGTGCTGATGCTTCTTCTCTCTTCGGAGACGCACATAGACATGCCAGGATTTCAAAGAATTCCCTATCTTCCTATGACGGTAATGCATCAGTGCCCTGACTTCCTTCTCTTTCATATTCTGTATATATGAACAGACCTCCTTCCACCGCAGCCAGGCCTGATATCAGAAGAACAGAGGATCAACAGGAAGAATGAATGGCCAGGAGCAAGGAAATGACAGGAAAGCAGAGCAAGGGAAAGCTTACACCAGACACAGAAGGGAAAAATGCAAAATGTCAGCCATACATTCTCCCCGTTGAAAGTTGTGTTCTATTACTCATCCCCACTAACTTAGGCAAAAGAGTTCTCGTTCATAGCAGTCTCTCCCTTCAGACTACTGCACTTTGTTCTTTCACACAACAGAACTCATCCAGTCATCTCGATTTTTATGTCATTCTTGTTTAAGGAAAAACAAAATCCAGACCTCGCGTGTAATAAACTGAAACCAGATTAGAATCTCCATACTGAACAGAGAATGGAGGGATGGCCATCAGCCATGACAATTCTATGAAACCAAAAGTAGAGGTGATAAACCTTTGCAACAGAGTAACATGGCTACCCCTCTAGAGTACACCTTCAAGTAACAATTGCGAAGACAGATAACAAAGGCCAGCCCCTGACTTTGTGCATTCTGTGTAAGTTTACAGAGGCATTCAAATGGCCAATGTCTCAAATAAAATGGTATGATCCAACAAGCTTATGTTCTTAAAGAAGTGACACCTGTAATTACTAGTAGTAGCTGCTAAGTTCTGTATCATTTTATAACAACTGTATTAAGTATTTTAATCTAAAGCATGCAAAATTTAAAAGACTCATATTTCTGGCACTCACCCGAAACTGCAGACCCAGGGTCCATTGCTGTAGAGCTTGAGCATCCATTTCACAGCTAACTTGGACTTGGCACCATCTCCTTCTCCACAGTTTCCATGACATGCTGTTAAAAACAAGTTTTAGGACATTTAATTTTTTTTAACTTTGCAGTCTGCAGCAAGGAATTATAAAAGCAAGGAGTTCTGCAAACAGCTGCTGAAGACCTCATACCTAGGGATAGGCACAAACCAGCTCATGAACCAAAATCTGGGTTGAACTTGAGCCGGTTCGGAGCTCAGGAACTGATGTTCGAGGAAGACACCTTCCCCGAACATTTAGTGGACTTTTGGCCAGTTTGGTATGGCTGTTCGTGGCCAGCAATTTAAACTTGACAGCTGAGTGGCATGGGGACCCGCTGAGTGGCTGGCGGACCCACTCAGCTGTTAAGGGGTTTTTTGCATGTTTCTGAGTATATGTGCTTGCGAGCCTGTAAGTCATGGTGATGACCCATAGTGGGGCTAGGTCATTTCAGAGCGGTGGTTTACATTACCTGCCTGTGTGTCCTGGCCCTGGTATTCCTCGGATGCCACCCTTCCAAGTACTTGCCAGGGTCGGCCCTGCTTAGCTTCTGAGATCTGATGAGATTGGGCTTGTCTGGGCTATCCAGGTCAGGGCTCGGCTATGAAGTTTAAATGGCTGAGAGCCACTAAACCCCTCAGTTTCACTCCCCCCCTCGAAGCAAAGTCAAAGGGTTAAATGGCTCCCAGCCATTTAACCTTTCCTGGGTGATCCCCAGCCACTTTTTCCTGACCGTGATGAAGTCCTTTCCCGGGCAATCCCCCCTCCCTTTCTCCTGGCCCTGGCAAGCTGCAGCCAGGAGAAAGGTGGAAGAGAAGTCCCTTCCAGGATGATCCCCACCTCCCTTTTCCCAGCCATGGCTTCCCACAGCTGGGAGAAAGGGGCAACCAAACTCACTGGACCAGCTCAATTTGGGTGGGGGCCTTTTGGCTCGGTTCAGGGTTTGGTTTGTGGGCTGCCCCGAACTGAACCACCCTTTTCAGGTTCGTGCCCATCCATACTCATATCCACTCCTTACAACTGCCACAAGTTTTCTTGGCATCATATTCTACAACAAGACCTAAACAACTTGGCAGTCAAATAACTGAACAGGATACTTTGTTCATTCCAATAGTTTTCAAGGAAGTTTAATAGCTTGGTTCTTAGTTTAGAAGAAAATTTATTTCTGCCATATGTGACTTTTATCGGAACTGTGTTCAGGACGGGAAGCTATTTAAAAAACAGAAAGGAATGAAAAACAGGAACTTTGTCTAGATTACTGATTTGCAGAAATGCCTCTATCCTAGAATTCACCTCAATAATTCAATAATTGGGACTGCACTCTATCTGTGAGCTGGAACCCAGCTGCAAGGTTGTAGCTGGCAAAGAGGAAAGGTGCTAGGGGATGAGTCATCAAACCCCAAGCACATAGCACTTTAGGGTGAAGTAAATGGCTCTGGATTAGATTTACAATCTAATACCTCTGCTTGATCATTGCAACTAATGGGACAGAGACTGCTAAAGCAAAAAGGCTAGATGATATTTCTTCCTCTTGGATCCAGAAGATGGTGAATAACCTGAGGGGGACAAACTCCCAAGGGGAGAATATAAATTCAAGGCATGAGGAAGACTCCATCTTGACCACATGTTGAGGGGAAATTAGAGAGAAAATTAGAACTCTGAAAATTAAGGTAATGATGGATTTTTAAATGCTGAAACTTCAAAAATAACTAACTCATAGCAGCAACAACATTGTTAGGAAAAGTATAGTTTAGGGTTGAAGAGGACTGTGTGTTTTCACTGTTTCTTTCCATTCTCGTTCAGCCTGATGCTTTACAGACCGTGTATACTCTTTTTGACTATGAATCTTTCTTATATTTTGAATGCTCAAAGCCTGATCTCTGTATACAAACCACACCTATTTGGTCCTGCTTTCCAAAGAGTAGCACAGGGGAGGGGCAGCAGTTGAGCTCACCATCATGAAAATGCAAAATATGCAATAGATTTATCTCACACTAGCCAGCACAAGAGAAGTAGGAGACATGGCAACTAAGCAGTCTTTAAATGGGAATGTAGTACGGAATTTTGGAAGTAATATCCCTTCCAGTGGCAGACAGTCTTTTGGATCTGTGGGTGGCAGTGGTTACTATCCAGAGAGAATTTGTTACTCCTGAGAGTAAGGGAAAAGTTCTATTCGCCAAGTGGTGATCCAGGATGGCCACGGGACTTTTCAGAGCTCCTAGACACACAGGAACAGGATTGCAAGACTGATCCCTCACAATTGGCTCTAAATCTGTTCTTACCGCAGGGTGCTCACTTCCTTGAATTTGAATGCTTCCAAATGCATCCTACGTTTCATGCGACGCATTTCCACATAGCTCAGCCAGTGACACCATGCTTGAAGTGTTTTCTTCTTTGCTGCTTTAAAAATCCAATTGATACAAGGTTTTAAAAACATGTACCAGTTTAAAAACCCATTATTTTAAAGAAATACTCAACTCCTTTACCCATTCAACCCACTGGGACAGGCTTAGAATGCGCTTCCAGGAAAAAAAAGTGTAGTGGGTCACCTAACTGATAGCTGCCAGAATTAATAACAGAAACTTCATATCAGCAAGATTGCTAGGGAAGCCTCATTATATGTGTGTTAAAAATGGAATAACTGGAGGTAACATTAGGGTCTGAAATTCTTTTGTAGTTTTAAAACTAATTACTGTCCTTATGTCTAATAGGCAAATGAAGCCATAGAAATTACTAGGTTACAGATTTCTTTTAAAAAACGATTTGAGGTTAAAAAAATCTTCCCAAAAATTAACAGAGATGCCTGCACATACATAGAGGTTTTTAAAACTGTGGGTATGAAGGACACTTATCAAAAGAATTTAACTTGGAAAAGGGGGTACAACAGGGATGTTTGCTGGGTCCTTCTTCTTTATTAATTTATATCTAAACGATTTAGCATCAGTCTTTGATGAATGCTGCCACCCACCAAACTGGCTGAGACTTGTGTCTCTGCCCTGCTTTATGCAGATTATGCTGTTATTTTGTCTTGAACTAGGGTTCATCTGCAAAATGCCTTGTAGTCTTTCTCCAGTTACTGTTTCCGAGAAACCTTGGTGATTAATTATCCAAAATCTAAGATCTTAGTTTTTAACAAGACCAGGAAATGGTCAGTCAACAGATCCAATATTGAGCAGGTTTAAGGCCTTCTCCTATTTGGGGATCTTATTCTCAGCAGATTTATCTTGGAACCCCCAACTCAGAACAGCGTTCAACAAAGCAAAACCATGTGCAAATGCTATAAATAGGTTTTTCCATAATGGGGGGAGGAGGTATCTTCCTAGAGCTCTACAAGTCTTCAGCGTGAAAGTGGTCCCCCTTATTCTTTATGGATCAGCTATTTGGATCAAAGCTATCTCTGATAATACTGATCAACCTCTGGTCCAGTTTTTAAGGAAAACACTGATTGTCCCCCAGAGCCAGTTTGGTGTAGTGGTTAGGTGTGCGGACTCTAACCTGGGAGAACTGGGTTTGATTCCCCACTCCTCCACTTGCACCTGCTGGATGACCTTGAGCAAGCCATAGTTCTGGTCAGAGCTGTCCTTGAAAGAGCAGTTCTGGAAAGAGCTCTCTCAGCCCCACCTACCTCACAGGGTGTCTGTTGTGGGGAGGGGAAGGGAAAGGAGTTTGTAAGCTGCTCTGAGACTCCGAGTGAAGGGCAGGGTATAAATCCAATCTTCTTCTTTGTGTATCAAATTATTATTGTTGTTGTTGTTATTAATTAGATTCTGAATAGCCCAAATGGGCTCTGGGTGATTTACAGCATTAAAACAGATAAAATACAATCAACATGATAAAATTATTACAACGCACTAATTAAACAACCAATCCAGTTGGCGATCAACCCCTTTTTTGTTATTCAACCAATAATAGAAAGGCAG